TAGATAAAAAAAAATCCCTGGATTTGATACGAATAATAATCCTTACATTTGCCTTGTCACGTCCTTGAGACGTCTCATAGCCCTTCACAGGAGACACTGTAAAGTGGAGCGACTGTGCACTTTCTGGGCGAAACTCAGCAGCCAATTGCGCACAGCAGTGTCGCAAACAAACAGTCGTGGATTGAGCGACCAATTTTTTTTGAGGGATTATTACCCCCGGGATCCTACTTGCTGGTTGGTAAAAAATCCGACTCATCCCTCAGATTTACCAAACCAGCGCGACCCACAGCTGTCCTTCCTTCCCCACATTCGACCCCTGACCAGGACCGCCTTCCTCCACCTCCGCCACACTGCCCGCTTCCGACTGTACCTCACCCCAGACCCCCCCCGAAAAACTCGTCCATGCATTCGTCACTTCCCAACTGGACTTCTCAAATGCCCTCTTTTCCGGTCTCCCCAGCTCCACCGTCCACAGATCCAAAACTCCACCGCCCACATACTCACCCGCACGAAACTCCGTACCCCCATCACACCAGTCCCAGCCACTCTCCAAACAAGTGTACGGAGTAAGGAAACTTGCCCAACATTTCACCCCAGCCAGGAACCAAACCCAGGTCCTCTCGCTTGCGAGGTGAGGACTCTAACCCCTGAGCTACAGGCCTCCACATGTGAGGAAAACTAACTGAAAGTTAAGATCATGTCAATTTCTGAGCAGGTCAAACCCCTAACAGGTTAAAATTTGTTTTTGTTGGGTGCCGTGCCACTTGCAGCACTAGTGAATGAGTCTGGGCTCGGGGCCTGCGATAAGCAGGGATCAACTGGCTCTGGCAGGTCAGCCCCCACTTGTCCTCACTCCCTGCTGTGGAGGGGAAATGTAAAGCTCTCCCCCAGCGAGTGAGCCATATGCCAACTGGTAGGAGTGGTGTTTCCTGCCTGCCTGGAACTGGGAGACTGCCAAAATGTCTGCCTCCCTCTACCCCCCCACAAGACAAACTGCCTGCTTTTCCAACCCCTCTCACGATGCAGACTCGGATCAGCGTAGGAGGATATGCAAATACTGTGAACAGCCTGAATTGTCCTGCAGCTCAGGGGTTAGAGCCCTCACCTCGCGAGCGAGAGGACCCGGGTTCGATTCCCGGGCAGGTCAGGGCGAGACATTGGGGAAGTTTCCTCACTCCACACACACACACACACACACGCCTCTGTTTACCGGCAGTCAGTAGGAACCCGGTTGTTAGTCCATTGGTGGATCACGTTTCTGGGGGTTAATAATCTCTCTTCCAAAAATATAAATAAAAATAATTTGGTGACTCAATCCACGGCTGTTTGTGGGGGACGCTGCTGTGCGCAATCGGCTGCCGCGTTTCGCCCATAAAACATACAGTCAATTCACTTTACAGTGTATTCGATGAAGCGCTTTGAGACGTGATAAGGCGTTAGATCAAATGCCAGGATTATTATGATCACTGTTATGCATTAGAAGTATAGAGATCCGTCATATGAAAGGTTCAGTTAAAAGAGTTTTGGCTCAAACTGCACTTGTTGCTCTGCTCGCACCACACCAGACATCTGCCTGCTTCCTGACTGCTGAGCTTGTAACTTGTTCAAGTCAGAAGCAGTTCTGAGCTGTGAATTCATGCCAAGTAGGTACAGGGTTCAATCGGATCAAGCTAATTTCCCTCATGCCACTCAGCAACAAAGGGAGGGAAAGGGAGAGACCGGGAGAGGGAGAGAGAAGGGAATCATCTAATTGGCCTGGGCTGGACCAGACTTGAGTTAGAACAAGAAAAGGCTGTCGTGTTTCAATCCGCTTCCAGTCCGTTGGACTTTGACACAAATAGTAATTATCCTCGCTTTTATGACATACTTGATAATTTATAATAATGCGCTAATTGAAAGAAAAATACTACTAATAATGCTTGCATTTGATGTAGCTCTTTATCACATCTTTGAGACGTCTCAAAGCACTTCACAGGATGGACTGTAAAGTGAATCAACTGTATGTTTTGTGGGCGAAAGTTATCAGTTTTGAAAACAAGTGGGTTCCAAATTGAGGCGGAATGCGTACTCTCTCCCGGGAGGAATGCGTTCTACGTACCAAATTGCCGAGACTATTAGACACTGATTGGCAAGTGCCAAGGCTTGGGGACTCTGCTGGAGTTGGACCGGCTAAAGCTCCATTGAAAGCACAGCCTTCCCACTGCTTATCCTAAAACTGCCGGCCCTACCCCTTAGGGATAACCAGAGCTGAGTGGGAAGAATCTGGCTCTCTGCCGCCCCACCCTATCCTTCCACAGAGCAAATAAAACACACAGTCAATTCACTTTACAGTGTTTCCCGTGAAGCGCTTTGAGACGTCTCGACGACGTGATCAGGCGCTGTGACAAATGCCGGGATTATTATCATTACTATTATTATTATTATTCTCATCCTCTCTCTTCTCTTTCCCCCTTTTCCCTTCCCAAGGCCCGGAGTTGTGCTGACAGCTGCCCAACTAACCGTGTAAGTACCGGGAATTCCGAGAGTACCCCAAATGCCCAGGATCGAAGAGGCTTGTTGGACGTGCAGTTGCACAAGAGCTCGCACATCCAAAACCACCTCCGGCACTCTGCTCGTGGCCAAAGTCCACGAGATGATGACCATCGTTACCTCCATCTTGGGCAGCGCCTACTGCTCTCTGCTTAGCAGCCAAACCTTGAACATGTTCCGTCGAGGCTTCGTCCTCTTCACCGTGGGTGTCTTCCTCGCACTGGTGCTCAACCTGCTCCAGATCCAAAGGCACGTGACCCTTTTCCCCGAGGAGGTTATCGCCACCATCTTCTCCTCCGCCTGGTGGGTGCCTCCTTGCTGCGGCACAGCTGCAGGTAAGATAGCCAGAGTTGGGGTTGGAGGAGCGGAGTGGTGGGGGGGGTGGGAGGGGCAGGCGGTGGGTTAGGGTTAGGGTGGGTGGGGGCAGAGAGGCAATCGAATTCGTAACCCCTCAATTTTAGGGCAATTGTATTACGTCGCTGTGTGCAAATATCGCGTTATGCCCTGAAAATATACACAGTCAATCCACTTTACGGCCTATCCTCAAAGCGCTTTGAGATGTCGTGCTAAGGCGCTGAGTCAAATGCAAAGATTATTATTATATTATTGTTGCTTATGGCAGAATCAAAGGGCCTCGGTTTGTTACCTATGGTTTGGATGCTCTTACGTATGGTGATGGGTTTTTGCATGTGTCAGACACCCACCCGGTTGACCCCCAAAAAATTGGTTCCCAGGCAAGCTCACCACTAACATAGGGAAAAGGGTACGTTAAGCTTGTGGAGTCCCTGTAGCTCAGGGGTTCGAGCCCTCGCCTCGCGAGCGAGAGGACCCGGGTTCGATTCCCGGGCAGGTCAGGGCGTAACGTTGGGCAAGTTTCCTCACTCCACTCACACACACACACACACACACACACACACACACGCGCCTCTGTTTACCAGCGGTCAGCAGGAACCCGGTTGTTAGTCGATTGGCGGATTACTTTTCTGAGGGTAATAATCCTTTCAAAAAATAATAATAACTTGGTCACTCAATGCACGGCTGTTTGTGGGGACGCTGCTGCGCCGCGTTTCACCCACAAAATATGCAGTCGATTCACTTTACGGTGTATTCTTAATATTATTATTAAATGCAATGTTGGGGGTGAAAGCGGGGAGAAATGGGGCCACAGAGCTGTGCAGTGGAGTCCTGTAGCTCAGTGGTTGAGCACTCGCTTTGCAAGCGAGAGACCTGAGTTCAATTCCAGGCAGAGGGCGAAACCTCGGGCAAGTTTCCTTACTCCACACACCTAATAATAATCCCTCCAAAACCAAAAACAATAATAAATTGGTCATTTTCAATCCACGACTGTTTGTGGGACATTGCTGTGCGCAATTGGCTGCCGCGTTCGCCCACAAATATACAGTCAATTCACTTTACAGTGTGTTCTGTGAAGCGCTTTGGGACGTCCTCCCGACGTGAAAAGCGCTGTATCAAATGCAAGGATTATTATTATTATTATTATCACTTCAACCAATTTTTTTTTTAAAAAAGCGGCCGTGGCACAATTTGACGTGCAGGAAGGAGCAGGGAGTGTGGAATTTCGGTGCGCTTGCCCTAACCTCTCGTGTGACATTCATTTGCTTTACCGGGGGGTCCTGTTACAACAACAGCAATCAATGCGAAACGGTCGTTGCGTCCGCTCTTAACGCCGGGTGTTCACGCTGCCAGGCTCAGTGCGGTTTCACATCCAGTCCGTAACTTGGCAGTTCGTTGTGACGTGGGGGCGGGCGGTGGTGACTGGGGGTGGAGGAAGGGTTAACTTGCAAACTTGCAAACGTCGCAGCATTTACAGTAAACGTGTCGGCGGTGGTCTGCTGGAGTGGGAGTGATCACATGTATCTCTCTCTCTCTCTCTCTCTCGCTCGCTGCTGCCAAGGCCTTAAGCTCTTAATGATTTCCTTTGTTTGCTGTGTTATGTAGCCAGGCTGAACTGGGCGAATCTCACTGTTATCTGCTTTAAATGTTATTTTGCCCGAAACAATCAAGCCATTGGTGAAACCGGACGTGCGCCCTGTGTTGCCATGTCTTACTTCACTGAATTAATCACGCCCGCACGCTCGCTCGCTCGCTCACTCACTCAATTTCTCAATCTCACTCTCTCTTACTCACTCACTCGCTCGCTCGCAAACAAACAAACAAACAAACAATCTCTCAATTTGAATCGCTCGCACACAAACACGGACACACTCCCTCTCAACCGCGCCCGCACTCACGTGCGCGCTCTCTCCCTCTCTCTCCTCTCACTCAATCACGGTCACACTCACACGAAAGCGTGACGTGCACACTCGCAAACCCACGCGCACGCACACACACGCACACATCCGCACGCACACTCACATACAATCACTCAATTAATCGGTGAATTAGTCACACATACACATTCACATTCGATCTGACTCTCGGGGAAGCCAGAAGAAACTTCTTCACCCAGAGACTGGTGAGGAGGCCGGACTTGCCACCACAAGGAGGAGTTGAGGGGAAGCAGAGCATAGATGGACGAAAGGGGAAGCCGGAGAAGTACATGAGGGAGAAATGAATAGCAGGTTGTGCGGCGGGTGGGGTGGGGTGGGGGGGTTGCGGTTACTGGCTCTGTCCTTATCTGCGGGTGGGTGGGGGGGGGGGTGCCAGGGTTTCCGGAAATCCCAAGAGGACGTGTAGGTTTGTAGCCCGAAGTCAACCAAACACCGGGCCCCAAATTAGCCCCAGTATTATTGTGAGGTGCCCCAGTCTGGGTGGCAGAGGGATTCAGTGCTTTTACACAAGCGTATAAAGAAAATGACTCCACATGGGGGGGGGGGTCACGGGGGGTGGAGGGAGCACAGGGGGCCGGGGTTAATGCATGCTTTTTTTCAGGTTTAAATTAAATGGTTTTATAATGAGGACAATTCCCCGCACCCCCAACAATCTCCACACCCCCACCCCGCACCCCCAACACCTCCCGCCCCCACCGCACCCCCAACACCTCCCGCCCCCACCGCACCCCCGCACCCCAACACCCCCCGCCCCCCAACACCCCCCGCCCCCCCAACACCCCCCGCACCCCCAACACCCCCCGCACCCCCAACACCCCCCGCACCCCAACACCCCCCGCACCCCCCCCTCCCGCCACAGTGTTTCCGTCACAACAAGTTACTATAACAATAAAAGTGTGGGGGGAGGCGGGGCCGGCGCTTCTCATTGGTTCAACTGTCCTGGTCCTCAGCCTCCTGATTGGTTACCACGTGCAACACACACCACTGCTCACACCCACTCACACCCGCTCACACCCACCCACCCGCTCACACCGCTCACACTCACCCGCTTACACCCTCGCGCTCGCTCACACTCACCTACTCGCTCACAACCTCCCACTCGCTCACACCCGCCCGCTCACACCCTCCCTCTCGCTCACACCCACCTGCTCACACTCACTCACACCCACTCACACTGCTCACACCACTGCTTACACCTGCTCACACTGCTCACACCTGCTCACACTGCTCACACTCACTCAATCCATGGCTGTTTGTGGGACACTGCTGTGCGCAATTGGCTGCCACAGCGTATACTTTACAGTGTATCCTGTGAAGCGCTTTGAGCCGTCTCGCGATGAGTCGCTGTATCAAATGCCAGGACTACTATTATGATGATGGTTATTATTTATTGGATCTCAGGCTGCCAGAGCAGCTGTCTAACCATTGGCGCATCCAAATGTTTATTCAAATGATTATTCAGATGACCCGGAAGGCTCTTGTTTCCTCGTAACTCTTGAACATTCTCCCGATGTGAAAGGCGCTTATGTAAATGCGAGTAGTTGCTGGTCACAGTGAATTGAGAATTGACGATCGACGAGTCAATTATTGATTGCATATGTGTGTTGCGTGTGTGTTGTGTGTGGTATGTGTGCGTGTGTGTTGTATGGTGTGCATGTGTTGTGTGGTGTGTGTTGTGTCTGTGTGGTGTATGTGTGGTGTTGTGTGTGTGTGGTGTGTGGTGTGCGTGTTGTGTGTGGTGTGCGTGTTGTGTGTGGTGTGTGTGTGTGTTGTGTGGTATGTGTACGTGTGTGTTGTGTGTGTGGTGTGCGTGTGTGCGTGTGGTGTGTGTGTGTGCGTGTGTGATGCTTCTAAGTTATCCACGGGACGACCTCGAGTGAAGGGCACTGTACGAGCTGTTGTTCGCTTGACATTATTGTCTCGTGTTTTTTTGTTAATTATCCGACTGCTCACAACTGCGCTCTTGTCATTCCTGTTCAGCTGTGGTGGGTTTGCTGTATCCCTGCATCGACAGCCACCTCGGGGAGCCGCACAAGTTCAAAAGAGAATGGGCGAGCGTGATGCGCTGTGTGGCGGTGTTTGTTGGAATCAATCATGCCAGTGCTGTATCCTTTTTTACCCGCTGACGACCGGTCAAAGAAAAAAATATATATATATATGGGCGTCTAGATTCCAATCCTTATTAATATGGTCACCCCCCGAAAGACACACACAAAAAAAAGCATGTTTCTAATCTTCATTGCATTTAACAACAAGGGCAAATGGCCTTATATGTCAGGAGGACGTCCCAAGACGCTGGACAGTCAGGGATCCACATGGATTGAAGGTTTCGTCGCTCTGCGATGGGAAAAGAAAAAAACCCAACAATAATAGTTTGGTCACTTGATCCGCGGCTGTTTGTGGGGACGCAGCTGGGCCCACAAAACACACGGTCAGTTCACTTTACAGTGTATCCTGTGAAGCGCTTTGAGACGCCTCAAAGGCGTGATAAGGCGCAATATCGAATGCCAGGATTATTATCATTAAAGGGTCTGGGCTGAGTGAGCTGATTGTGGCTACGGCAATAGCTGGCTTTGTTGCTCCTGAGTTAGAGGAACATGAGCCTCCTCTGAGCGCTATCCAGAGACCCCTGTGGAAAGCATGCATTGGGCGTCAGCCTGGCTCAGTTGCTAGCACTCTCTCTCTCTCTCTCTCTCTCGCCTCTTGAGTCAGAAGGTTGTGGGTTCAAGCCCCCGCGTCCAGGCTTTGAGCTCCTTGTCCATGTTGACTGTTTGGCGCAGAGCTGGGAGGAGCGATGCATTGTCGGAGATGCCATCCTGTGGGTGGGACCTCAGCTCGAAGACCCATTGGCTTGTTCAGGTGGAAGTTAACGATCCAATGGAACCAATACTCAGTCAATTCACTTTACAGTCTATTCTGTGAAGCGCTTTGCGACGTCTCGAAGACGTGATGAGGCTCTGTATCAAATGCAAGAATTATTTTATTATTATAACACTCAGCCCTTTGCCCTTTTGAGCTCAGTGAAATAATAACCATGTTCAAATATTTCTCCCAAATCTTATCCACCCAACCCCAGGCCCCCCGCTCCCTCCATTCCGATGAGGGGGTGATTGGTGGGGGCGGAGAAAAGTGGTCTCGCTAGTATTGAACAGTCATAATCCGAGGTATTGTGAAGTGCTTTGAAACCTTTTGAAATGACAAGGCGTTACATTAATGTAAGGATTATTCCTTTTTTTAAACAAAACAAGTGTTGAAAGTGTTAAAGCTGCTTATTTGACCGGCGCTCGATGGGTATTTCAAAGCAATAGACGTTGAATTAATCTCCGGGTTCCAGTGACATTTAGAAACCATTTCAGTCAATGACATCGAGAGAAGCATTCGATTGATTTCCTGTCTCACATCCCATCAGCGGCTATTTCTTATCCGAAACACAACACACCTAAGTATCAGTTATCTTGTCGAATGTCCGTTATCTGACATTAACAGCGGCTTTGCAAAATACATGGCATTGTTAGATAACTCTTAAGGGGGGTTTCACCTGACCAACAATCCTCCACCTCGATAAATTGGTCACTCACTTCACAGCTGTTCGTGGGACGATGTGCTATACCTAAGTTGGCTGCCTCGGAGCTTCAAGATGCTATCCCACGTGAAGGGGCCAACATAAATCCTGTTGTCAGGAGTCCCAGTGTCCCAGTAGCTCAGGGGTTAGAGCCCACACCTCGCGAGCGAGAGGACCCGGGTTCGATTCCCGGGCAGGTCAGGGCGAGACATTGGGCAAGTTTCCTCACTCCACACACACACACACACGCGCCTCTGTTTACCGGCAGTCAGTAGGAACCCGGTTGTTAGTCGATTGGTGGATCACTTTTCCGGGTGAAAAAATCCCTTCAAAGAAAATGATAATAAACTGGTCTCTAGTGATTTTGCTGTGCGCAATTGGCTGCCGCGTTCGCCCACAAATATACAGTCAATTCACTTTACAGTGTGTTCTGTGAAGCGCTTTGGGACGTCCTCCCGACGTGAAAAGCGCTATATCAAATGCAAGGATTATTATTATTATAACAATCTCTGGTGATGATGATGGTTTCTTTAACTGGCAATCAATCAGAAATTAGACTTTGCGAATAACATGCAACTGTCGCTGACTCTGGCCGCTCTCTCCCTCGGCCTCTGGTGGACGTTTGATCGTTCCAGAAGCGGATTTGGACTTGGAATTACAATAGCCTTCCTCGCCACCCTGGTCACTCAGCTCCTGGTCTATAATGGCGTCTACCAGTAAGTACACAAGCTTTCCTTTTGCTGCATCCCTTCCCTTCATGTCAGCCTGGCTCTCAGTTGGTAGCTTTGCTCTTTGTCTCTGAGCCAGAAGGTTTCGCCCACTAAACACATAGTCAATTCACTTCACAGTGTATCCTGTGAATGATTTTTAAAAAAAACAGAAAGACTGACTTTAAAGGACCTTATGGGGATAGGAGAGGACTTGCGTTGGTTCTGATTTCATCTCAAATACTCTTCCAAAGTTTATTGTCCGGGCTCCAAATCGGCTGCCTGGGAGAGAGGGATGAGGATACGGAAGAGCTTTGAACAAGGTTCACTCGGTGTAGGAAATGCAATCTGTTTGTTCAAAGGAGGTCACAGGAGTTCAGGACAATAACATACCTCTGTTAGTTAAACCGGGGCTCGCTGGCAAGGTGATAGTCTTTACACTTTGCTGGATATTGAATCTCCCTGCCTCCATCCCCCCCGCCTCACCTCCTCTTTATCTTTAATCCATCCTAAAGACTTATCTCTTCAATCGCCTCTATGGTCACCTCCCCTCCACCACCACCTCGCTTGTCAAGTTCTGTAGCTCAGGGGTTAGAGCACTCACCTCGCAAGCGAGAGGACATGGGTTCGATTCCCAGTCAGGGCGAAACCTTAGACAAGTTCCTTTACTACACACGCACGCCTCTGTTTACCCAGCATTAAAATAGGAACCTGGTTGTTAGTCGATGGGCAGAATCACTTTCCAGAGGTAATAATCCATTCAAAATAAATAAATTGGTCCCTCAATCCACGGCTGTTTGTGGGGACACTGCTGTGCGCAATTGGCTGCCGGGTTTCACCCACAAGTCAATTCACTTTACAGTGTATCCGGTGAAGCGCTTTGAGACGTCTCGAAGACGTGATGAGGCGCTGTCAAATGCGAAGGTTATTATTATTATTGATATCCAACTCTGTCACTGATGCGATCCTGTGTGAAGGGCGCTACATAAACTCAAGTTGAGTTATGTCGTGTGAAGCAGTTTGAGATATGAGTGGAAGGCGCTATAACAAATGTAAGGACTATCGTGTAATCGAAGAATCAAGAAGATATTCTTTACCACTGATCTAGGTACACCTCACCGGACTTCCTGTACATCCGTTCCTGGCTGCCCTGTATATTTTTCTCTGGAGGAGTGACTGTAGGAAACATAGGAAGGCAACTAGCCATGGTAAGTTGTCGCTCCAGAACCACGCCTCAGTGTGTGTGTGCCTGAACAACTGTGTGCGTGCGTGTTTGTGCGCATGCATATGTGAGTGTGCGCGCGCTTGTGTGTCTGCGCATGTGTTGTGGTCCGTCTGCACGTGTTGTGGTGTGTCTGCGCGTGCGTTGTGGTGTGTTTGCGCACGTGTGTGGTGTGGCTGCGCGCGTGTATGGTGTGTGTGCGTGCGTGTGTGTGTGAATGGACGTATCTGCATGAATCGCAGTGCGCAGCCAGTCCTAGCTGTTTGAAAATATATATATCTATATATACATATGTGGAGGCTTGCGGGTTTGTGATTTCACTCGTTTTTTTTTAAAAAAGAATGGAAAAATAAGAGTGAAAAAATTCTAAATAAAGTTTCCGAAGCCTGTTGAGGGCTCCCTGACGCTCGGTGGGTTCAGTGCACCATATGGTGTAGTGGAGAGTCACAGCGAGCTGAAAGTCTCCCCGGTTTGATCTCTGTCTGCACTGCTCCGCACTGAGGTATCTAAATCTCGACCAGGAAGCCGGAAAATAGACTCTGTGCCCCTCTGCTCAGGAGGGGTCAGATGAGCCAGAACTCTTGCTGCTAACCTTATAATCCCTGCTGGAATGTGCGCGTGTATGAATTTTGGCTGAAAATAGGATCGGGCTCGACTGTGATAACCTTCATCCTATTCAAAATAATAATAATAATTTGGTCACTCGATCCACGGCTGCTGTGCACAATTTGGCTGCCGCGTTTCGCCCGCAAAATATACAGTCGATTCACTTTGTGGTGCATCCCGTGAAGCGCTTTGAGACGTCTCGAAGACGTGAGAAGGCGCTGTGTCCAATGCAAGGATCGTTACTATTATTTGTTGGGTCTCAGCCTGCCAGAACAGCTGCCTAACCATCGTAGCCTCGTACTGTTTCCGAACGTTTATTCAAATGAGCAAAGGGCTCTTGTTTCATCGTAACTCTTGAACGTCCTCCCGACGAGAAAGACGCTTATGCAAATGCAAGTCGTTGCTGTGGTGGTGGTGGTGGTTGTTGTTGAACTGGTCTTACCTGGTTCTAAGGATCCCTTTCTCTCCACACAGGGAGTTAGTGAAATAACCCACAAGGACTGCCATGACAAGGTACATATGGATTGATGGAGTGAGTTGTTTTCAGAGAGAGAGAGAGGAAACTGTCTGGTGCCAACCAAGATGCTGTAAGAAGACGGTATCTACACAAGGACTTTCAGTAGAAGTTGCTATAAGCCGCTAGATATGCATGATATTCATAAAAGGGAAAATTTGCAATCTGTGATTGCCTTTGTAAAATTGTCTTATTTCTCAGCATCGATGTTTCTTTTTGTAAACTGTAAATAGCCGGTCGGTGTACGTAATAATAAGTCTACATCATTTAATCTTTGTATGAAATGTAATGCCATTACCCTGATGCTGTAGTAGACCTAAATAGCAAGCATTAGGTCTTGTTGATAAAGTGCAATGTATTCAATACTTGAGCCTTCTTGTATATCCCCCCACCCCCCACCTTATTTATTTCCTCCCATCACTACCCCACTCCCCTTCAGACTCACTTGTACCACGACACACAGAAGTGGTTGGCTTGCGCTGCACGGGTGTAGAACTGTACAGTCAAGCGGTTTCTGTTTCTCAAGACGCTCCTCGCTTAACCTGCATGCGGCAAAAACTCCGGACGTAAGAATCTGCCAGGCGAGAGAGGAGACCGAGGTCCACCCAGGCCGCCTTCCACCATCCTGACATGTGGTGTCTGTCTGTCCCAAGTCGCTACCTACCCCTACAGAGATGTAGGCAGCTCCTTCTTCCAGGAGAGATACGATGCTGATTGTCCACGCTCACTTTGCTGGGCCAGGATTGAAGAGAATCTATCGGGGAATCGTATCTATCCATTGGAACCAGAGTTTGGGCCAAATCTGGAAGCCGTATTTCTCTCCACACACACACACACACACCACTATCACCAACCCCTTCACCCTCACTCACACGCGCGCACACACATACACCTCCCACCCACCCCATCCCCCCCGTGCGCAGTGTTTGTGCTCCAATTGCCAAGGACACTTTGCCCAATTTCATCAATGAAAATGTACACGTTTGTGTTTCGATGTATTTTTTTTTCCCTCTCCGCTGTTCTCAGTAAAAAAAATATTCTGTAATTGTCAAGAAGTGTTTACAGTTCATTGCTCCTCTCTCTCGCTCTCTCTCTTGCGCGCGCACTCTCGCTCTCTCTCTTGCACGCGTTCTCTCCTCTCTCTCTCTCGCGTTCTCTCGCTCTCTCTCTCTCGCTTGCTTACTTGTGTGTGGATTTGGGCCATCATTCTCGGGTGGGGCGAAACCTGAGGCAAGTTTCCTTCCTCCACACACACACGCCTCTGTTCACCCAGCAGTAAGTAGGAACTCGGTTGTTAGTGGATTGGCAGACCGCTCTTCCGGGGGTAATAATCCCTTCAAAAAAAAAAAAATTTGGTCACTCAACCCACGGCTGTCTGTGGGGACATTGCTGTGCGCAATCGGCTGCCGCGTTTCGCCCACAAAACACACGGTCAATTCACTTTGCGGTGTGTCCTGTGAAGCGCTTTGAGGCGTCTCGAAGACGCGATCAGGCTCTCTATTAAGGATTATTATTGTTATAGTATTATTGGAGCCGAATGGCCTCCTTTTGTGCTGTCAGTTTCAATGTGAAGGGTCCATCTCGGCCACCTCCACGTCCAAATCTACGCAAGTTTCTCCGCTAAGCCACTAGATGGAGCAATGTACAGGAACTGGGAACACACTACTGATGTGACTTGATGTTACAGGAACATATGGGACTGGGAAACAGCCGTTGCAATCCATTGAGCCAGGTGGGCAGCACAAAAAATAGCGCACTCTCTTTCTCACGGTGGAGTCCCCTGGAGCTCAGGGGTTAGAGCCCTCGCCTCGCAAGCGAGAGGACCCGGGTTCGATTCCCGGGCAGGTCAGGGCGAGACATTGGGCAAGTTTCCTCACTCCACACACACACACACACACGCGCCTCTGTTTACCAGCAGTCAGTAGGAACCCGGTTGTTAGTCGATCGACGGATCGCTTTTTCTGGGGGATAATAATCCCTTCGAAAATATAATAATTTGGTCACTCAACCCACGACTGTTTGCGGGACACTGCTGTGCGCAATTGGCTGCCGCGTTCGCCCACAAAATATGTTCTAACCACTAAGCTACAGGATTCCACAGCGATGGTAAAGCAGAGAGAAAAAGCTGTGAGATAGAGAGGGCCAGGAGGAGAGTAGTGAGGTGAGGAGGGACAGGCAGGGGAGGATGTCCCAAGGCGCTGGACAGTGACAGCATTTCAGACCTGAGCTGGGGTCAGGGGGCAGAACGGAGGGGAGGAGAAGGGGGGTGGCCGATGGCATGGTCGAAGAGGAGGGTCTTGAGGCGGGACTTGAAGGAGGCTAAGGAGGGGGCGAGGCGGAGTGACTGGGGGACGGAATTCCAGAGGTTGGGGGCAGAGTGGCTGAAGGCTCTGCCACCAATGGTGAGGCGGGTGGGTCGGGGGACGTGGAACAGACCGGAAGCCGGCTGAGCGGAGGGAGCGGGCAGGTTGGTAGGTGGTTAGGAGGTCACAGAGGTAGGGTGGGGTGAGGCGGTGGAGGGCTTTGTAGGTGAGGACCAGGATCTTGAACTGGATCCTCTGAAGGATAGGGAGCCAATGGAGTCGGGCGAGAGTGGGGGAGATGGGGTCACGGAGTTTGTTGCGGGAGAGGACACGGGCTGTAGAGTTCTGGGTTATCTGCAGTCTGTGGAGGGAGGAGTTTGCATTGTCGAGCCTGGAGGTGATGCAGGAACGAACAAGAGTTTCAGCGGCCTGAGGGGTCAGGTAGTGGCGGAGTCAGTTAAGTCAGTTGAAGTCTTAACTGTAAAGAAACAACAAACTCTTAATCATACCAGTGGAGCTGCGATTTGACTGTTCAATATGCTCATCAAACCGCCTGCAACTGTTTCAATCGAGAAGAATTGAAAGAATCTGGGTAGTTGCTAGACACGCACGCTGATTGAAGGGTAGTGTTTTACTTCTCCTGAAGGAGTTTATCTGATTTCAATCAGTTCAGGAACCTCACAGCTCTTATTGATGGGGAGAAATTGATTTACAGACAGGCTAATGGGAAGAATTTAGATAAGTAATGGAAAGGAATTCAACGGGGAATTGGATTCACGCAGTTTATTCCAAATAAGTAGGTCATAGAAGAAGTTGTAAGTGACAATGGTTGTTGGAACGGCTTGGAAAGATAAGGTGGGGGTGGCGAGGGGGGTGATCAGAGACAGGGCAGGAGAACTGGGAGAGCATGAGATGGGAGTTTCTCCTGGTGTCCTGGCTAACAATCCCCCAGATAAAATTGGTCACTCACTCTATGGCTGTAATGTAGGACACTGCTGCCGTAATTGGTTGCCACGTTTCACCCACAAAATACACAGTCACTCCACTGCAAAGCGCTTAGAGACGATGCAATAAGGCGCAATGTCAAATGGAAGGATTATTACTTATGTTGTATCCCAAGCATGGAAAGACAGACATCTCAACGCGCTTCACAGAAAATACTGCAAAGTGGAGTGACTGGGTATTTTGCGGGAGAAACACGGAAGCCAATTGCGCACACCAGTGTCCCCACAAACAGCCAATGAAGCGAATGACCAATTTTATCTGGGGGGTGGAGGGGGGTTTGTTGGCCAGGACACCGAGTTTTTCGAATACTGCCGTGGGATCTGTACCACCCACCGGAACAGGCAGACGGGACCTCGGCTTAACATCTCATCTGAATGATGACACCTCCGACAACACAGCACATCCCCAGCACTGGATTGGAGCGTGAGCCGAGACGATGTGAGCTCAAAGTCCTGACCGGGAGCCTGAGCCCACAACCTTCTGACTCAGAGGCTACCAATTTGAGCCAGGCTGACACAACAGATTCAAAGGTTTAGAAAAATCCCTTTTAAATTGACACAGTTTCATTAGCCACCTGCGGTAACACATTCTGAATCCTAATTAGGGGGTCAGCTCGGCTCAGTTGGTGGTTTCCTCGACTCCGGGTCAGAAGATTGTGGGTTCAAGCCCCATGGTGAGCCTTTGAGCTCGCAGGCTAGGCCGACACTTCACAAAAGAAGTTGCATTGTTGGAGCTGCTGCGGTTCAGTTCACACAATAAGTCAAGGTCTTCTGCCGTTTCAGGTGGATATTAAAGATCCTGTGGCGCTATTCAAAAAGAGAAGAGAAGGTTTAAAATAAATAATAATCATCCTGGAATTTGATAACAGTATTGGTACTGTATTGAGTTTTGGTACTTTATTTTTAATCCCTGCACAGCCAGAGGTTAGTGCACATGCAGTGTAATAATAATAATGCAGTCTGTAATAATATAATTTTTGCACATTTGACACAGAGCCTTATCAAGTCTTCGAGACGTCTCAAAGCGCTTCACGGGATACACTGTAAAATGAATTGGCTGTATATTTTGTGGCCGAAACGCGGCAGCTGACCACAAATGCGCCCAGCAGCGTCCCCACAAACAGCCGTGGGTTGAGTGACCATATTATTATTGTTTTTCTTCATGAGATTATTAATGCACCTGGAAAGTGACTAACATTGCCAGGTGAACAGCGTCGTGTGTGTGTGTGTGTGCGGAGTAAGGAAACTTGCGTAAGACGAGTGAGACGAGTGCTCTATCCACTGAGCTGCAGGACCCTACAGTCTGTTGGGCTGCTGTTGCTTTGCTCACAGTATAACTGGGGCGAATTCCCCAACAACTGGACGCTATTATAGACCATTCTGATTCACTGTAACAGCCACGCAATCTAAGCGCAGCACAAGAAGCACTCTGCATGTCACTGTGTGTGCCATGGTAACACACTGCAACCGGGCCAACTGGAATTTCTTTGATTAACAGAAGCAGCAGAAGATATATACCAGATTGACTCTCAAAAATTAAAGAACATGCATAAGAACATAAGAAATGCTTCAAAGACCACCAAAAAGGACCAAAAAAGGACCACGTAGTTTGACTTCCGCCTTCCTGGAGGTTGTGTGCACGTACGTCAAGAACTACCCGTAAATACTATATCCCTTCGGTTGTTTCCTAAAAGAAAAACAATCATGTTTGAGGTAGCAAATGGTGGGGGAGAAAGTGCTTGAGAACTGAGATGAAAGAAAATGCATTGGGTAAATATTTGACTCCGATTCACCCAATTATCACTCGGATGAGTTTCCTGCGCTGGGCGTTTGTGCGTTGTACTGGGGTCTGGGCAAAATGGGCTGTGGGGAGAGACGGAGCTGCACAGAAGCTACCGGGGAGGATTCTGCACATGATGTGGGACTGTGCCAAGATCAAGGAATTGAGCAGGAGACACTGCGAGATCTGAACGGTCTGCCCACTGTGCTTCACAATTTGTATCCTGGGAGATCTCAGCAGGAATATCATTCCTCCAGCCCCTCGTGCTCACAGC